GGCTTGGTGTGAACGCCCAGTCATCATGAAAATATATGGAAACCCCTTTTGATTTTGTTGGGGAGTGTGCATGATATGCTTGGGAGTAGTGTCGGATTACAAATCTTGGGGGTTGCGAGTGCAGAAGTGTGTCTCTTGCAGACAGGCTATGGCCGCCCCAGAGGTTCGGCTGTCATGTGCCCCCAACCTCTATTTATGGGGGCTATTAAGGCCTTTCACATTCAGGGAGAAAAGGGTCATAGTATTGGGTATCCCCATGGTCAGAGTTTGTGAGTGTCCGCTATAATGGAGGTCCCTCGTGGGGGTTGCTTTGGCATTAGGAGTGAATAGGTTTCCTGCGATAGTGTGTGGGTGCTCTGGGGTCTCCCTCCCCCCTCTGCGTCTAATGGTGTTCCCTCTTGACAAATAGTGTGGTCCTGTGGAGTATAGTTCAATACAGTGATTCCAAATAACAAAATAAACATAAACATAGAAAACAAACAAAGTATATACATCATTTTCCTAATAGATAGGGTCGTCAGTGTTGTTGGGGCGGCCTCCCAGCCTAATGCTTGGGAGGCAAGCCCAACTGGGGGATTAAGGGTAACCTGCGTGGTTTGGCCTTAACCGGGACCCCTTAAGTATATTCGATATTACGTAGCTTACATTATACAGACAGCCTTGTGTACGTTACTGTTATATGAGAGCATCCCGCCCTCTCAGTGAAGTAGTTGTGTATACTTTTTTTTTTTTTCTTGTTAACTTTTTGCCCTTTGTGAGCCCTCCATCCCATCTGCTATAAGACCCAGTGAGAAAGGCATAGGTGCCCTGGTATAAATACAATTTGGTGCCATATACATTACACAACGTTATGGTCGGCTTCAGCATCCATTTTCTTTCCGTCCAGGCATGTGGTCAGTTTTGTGGTGGGATGGAGGGTTGTGGAGGGAGAGTTCATTTATACCTTCTTGGCGATCCCGCCATGTGCCATTCAGTTGCGAGTCTCCTCTGCAGTTTCGGATCTTGCGCTGGCTGGTCCGGCGACTGGAAAAGTCCCCATTCTCTCAGAAGGCGCATTCCATCCTCTGGTTCCTCTAGAACGTGGTTTTTGTTATTTCTCCAAACGATAATCTTAGTGGGATAACCCCAGCGGTATAGGACATCGTGGTTTCGGAGAGTCTTCGTGACTGAGATAAATTCTCTTCGTCGGCTCATTGTGAGAGCAGATAGATCTGCGAACAATTGCACCCCCTGGAACGGTTCTGGTAGCGATGTAAGTTTACGCGTGGCAGTCAGCCGTGTAATAGTGGAACCTGACCACAACATCGCGTGGGGTGTCTGCTATGAAGCGCTATGGCCTAGGTAAACGGTGCGCTCGGTCCAACCGCCACTCCGTGGTGACCCTTGCCGGCAGCACGGCCTGACACAGGCCTTTGATGTAGTCGGGCAGAGCCTCATGTGTGATGTTATCAGGGATTCCTCTAAACCTGACATTGTTGCGTCTAGAGCGATCCTCTATGTCCGCCATTTAGCTGCGTTTGTTCCTCACTGAGAGCTTGCAATTTAGCCTCCATATCATTGTGAGCTGAACATATTTCTTCTGTGCGGACTTCCAGTCTGTCTGTTCTGTCTCCCAGCTCAGACAGGTCCTGTTTGAAGTCTGTCATCATTTGTTGGAAGTCTGCATGCAAGGTAGCCCTAAGCTCTTGTAGCATGTTATAGAGACTTCTCTCACTCACCGGGTTGTCAGTGTAGCGGCCTGTGGGATCTCCTGTGTCTGGCTGATCTTCAGCGCTAGAGGCAGTCGCCATGCTGCCGTCGCCATCTTGGCTGGAGCGGAGGCGCTCTTTTTTGGCGGACCTGATCGGGTCCGTGATTTTTAACTGCTTGGAGGACGCCATGTGAGCGCTTGCTGCCCGGTGGAGCTCTGCAGGGTCGGGATTGGTGAGTCTATAATGACTGCCTGTAGTTCTCGGGTCCGTCGGCCTGGGAGCTCTCACTCCATGCGCCTTTCCCGGTCGGCCGCTAGCCACGCCCCTCAGCATCTAGTGTTAACAAAGCTGTAGGACATTTATTTGTTATAGCTCCATGTATTACATTCAAGATTTTAGTAGTATTGTCTTTGGCTTCATGGCCAGAGACAAAGCCTGCTTGATCAGGGTGGATCAGTCCAGGCATAAGGGGCTTAAGCCTATTTGCCAAGAGTTTTGCAAATATTTTTAGGTCTATAACTACTGCATATTTCTGGATCTTTCCCTGCTTTATGTATCATAGCGATTACTGCTTTCAACATTGGTGGCGGAATGGCAGTAGTTGGAGATAGTCCATTAAAAGTTATAAGAAAATGTGGCTTAAGGATGCTATGGAATTGTTTATAATAACATGCAGATAGGCCATCTGGCCCAGGGCGTTTATTAAGAGGCATTGCCTTTATCACTGCCGAGGGTAGAACAATTCCTCCATTTGGGCTGATGTTTCTTTGGAAATTTTTAACTGAATATTTTTAGATAGATATTGTTCTCTTTCATATGGGGTCTTCTCAAGGGGATTTAAATTATAGAGGTCTTTATAATAATTACTGTACGTGTTTGCTATTTCCTCAGTGGTATCACAAATTTTTCCTTGTTTATCTTTAATTTTGGATATATATGTTTTTTGTAACTTTACTTTTAAGGCTTTAGCCAACAGTTTCCTACTTTTGTCCCCATGCGAATAAAATGTACTTTGTGTCAGCTGGACCGCTCTTTGGGCCTCATAAGTCAATAATGACCTCAGCTTAGATCTAATTGCCGATAAACATATAACATTTTCTTCAGTTGGAGTTTGCTTATGGATAAACTCCATTGTACCTAATTTTTTTATGAGCCTTTGTATTTCCTCGGCTCGTTCCTTTTTACATCTGGCACCCCATTTGATTAAAAACCCCCGGATCACACTCTTGTGTGCTTCCCATAACCATGATTCATTAATATTGTCTGTGCAATTATCTAAAAAATATTGAGAAAGTGTTTCCCTTGGGTCGTCAAGGAGAGACTCATTTAATCTCCAGATGTTATTACCCTTCACGTCACCTTGCAGTTCAATATCCAAAAATATGGGGGCGTGGTCAGACCATGTGATATTCCCTATTTTTGCTCCCTTTACCAAATGTCGATATCTATGATTTACAAAAAACATGTCTTTCCTAGAATAACTATCTGCAGCTGATGAGTAAAAGGTATAATCCCTTTCACACTGATGAAAAATACGCCAGCAGTCAATCAATTGGTAGGAGTGCAGAATTTTTAGGACTAACGACCTCTGACTCGTCTGTGTTTCTCTCGTATTTGAAGAACTATCCACTGTATAATCTAGCACCATATTGCAGTCCCAGCCAATTATCAAAACTCCTTCGTTGAAGTCTTCCAGTTTCCTCAGACATGTTTTTTAAAAAGATGCTTGGCTAGTGTTAGGCACATATATATTTGCAAGCGTAATCATTTGGTTGTTAGCCTTCCCTTTTAAAAATATATATCTTCCTCCTCGATCCAATTTACTATCTAGTTGGACAAAGTTCAAATCAGAATTTAAAAGTATTGCCACTCCTCTAGACTTGCCTTTCATAAAGTTGCTATAGGTCTGCTTAAATTTATTTGTGTTAAGTCTAAAAAGTGTTTTTATAGTGAGTTTCTTGAATAAATACGATATCTTTTTTTTACCTTTCTAACTCCTGTACCAGGATAGAGCGCTTCCTAGGGGAGTTCAGACCATTAACGTTCAAAGACATACAACTAATCTGTACCATAGTTACAGTAGGAAATTCCATATATCCAGCTACTGAACTCAAGCCAATTACCACTTCTCTAATGTTTGGGCAGATAACACACTACGAAAATAGTGAAAGCGTAAACAAAAAAAAAAAAAGAAAAACACAAAGAAAAAAGGGCATGGAAAAAAACAACTAAATATGTAATCTTAATATAAATGCTATATCCAAAATAGGATAAGATGCCACCCCTGTGGGAAACCCATTTGTGTCCACAAGACATATCAGCATCTTTCTAAGGGGGGGGGAGGGAGGGAAAGATAGATGAGAGCAGAGTTATAAACCAATTTATCAAGAGACCTACAAGAGTATTCTAATTGCCCTAACGCGTCATCTCATGCTAACACGCTTCACAGAACCTTCTGGTGTTAACAAGGCAATCATTCCCTAGTGGCCTCAGCAGTAGTGATGTCCCGAAGGGTCGCCGCGGACGGTGAACATATGCGCTGTTCTGTCTGCCCCCTATGTCATCATTGAGTAAACTTTGACTCTGTACCTCACAGTCAGCAGACACATTCCAGCCAATCAGCAGCAGACCCTCCCTCCCAGACCCTCCAACCTCCTGGACAGCATCCATTTTACATTCATTGTGAAGCTGCATTCTTAGTGAGATGTCCAGGAGGTGGGAGGGTCAGCGCATATGTTCGCCGTCCGCGGCGAACCGTTCGGCGAACCGTTCGGGACATCACTACTCAGCAGTTTTTGTTTTTTTAAGTTCTACTTTGCCATTTAGATTTTTGTTGCTCTTGTAATGGAGGAATGCCTAAAAGGCCTGTCCAGTCTTCGATCTCAATAGGAGGGAGCCCCAGAGCTTGTAAGAAATCTGGTATATCTGTTGGTGTCTTTATCGTATGCATTTTGGAGTGTTGAAAAACCATTAGTGCAAATGGGTAGTTCCACCGATATTTTATTTGTTTCTGTCCCAGTAGAAGAGTGATCGGTCTCAAAGCCTTGCGTGCCATTAAAGTAGAAGGTGAAAGATTTTGAAAAAATGCAATAGAATGTTCGTCTAATTTAATTTCCTTCATTAGTCGGGCTTTCTGTACTATCTCTTCTTTTAATAAAAAGTCATGGATGCAGCAAATTAAATCTCGAGGATTTTTTTGTGGTGAATTCCTTGGTCTTCCTATTCTATGCGCTCTATCAAGCTTGATATTAGCATCCGAGGTTCTTCCTAAAATTTGATTGAAAATACAAATAAAAATGTTTGTAGGGTCTTTTAGTTCATCCTCCATGGTTTCAGGGACCCCTCTTATCCGTAGATTATTTCGTCTTCCCCGATTATCGATATCATCTAGTTTCCTTTGTAAGGAAAGAATAGCTTCGGTCTGCGATCTTTGTAATTTCCAACATTCAGTCCACTGATTTTCATTTATTTCTTGATTATCTTCCAATGCACAAACCCTATCTCCTAAATGATGTATTTCTGTGGTGACAGCTTTTCATTTTTTACCAAAACCATGTTCAATTTTTTAAAACATATCAATCAAATCCGATTTAGAAGGTAGTTGTGCCAGGATTGTTCTAAGATCTGGGCCTTCTGTTGATCCCTCTGACATTGTGGGGCTTACTGGTGACATAATTACATAGCAGTCTGAGTTGAAAAAAAAGACTTAAGTCCATCAAGTTCAACCTTGAAAGCCATTCTTTTATGCTGTTGATCCAAAGGAAGGAAAACATTCCAATTATGCCACAAAAAGGGACAATATCATACTTGACTCCATAATGGCAATTGGATTTTGCCTTGGAACAACAACCTGTTGACATTGATTAAGACATGAGAAAGATGTGAATATATCGAAACAATTACAACCATATGTCAATACACCGTTGCATCTAATGCGAAAATGCTGACCAGTAGAAAGATAAGAATGAATGGCACTCCCCTGTGCAGCTATTTAGGTATGTGGTCTGTCCTGCATGTCACCACATCTTTATGTAGGTACATGTAGTATGCTCATACATTTCTTATATTTTTGTATTATGTTACTTTATGTTATGTTTTTATAACTACTGGAATTTTATTACTGTTACAGTGCAAGTCCATGCCTTTTATTTATTTATTTGTCACCACTCCCCATAGAAACTTGGGTCTAAGTGGTACTGAGGGCAAAGATATATTGTGTTTTATAAGTACTATATAAACTATACAAGTTGGTGGGCATTTATTGTTTTATTGTCCACCACAGCCTAATGTGAATGCATCAGTTTTTATTTCTTGCATTTTTTTTATCTCAATACACTGTATATAGTGTATTTTTGTACCTCTGTTATTTTTTTTATTTTTTGGGGGGGGGATTTAGACAATGCAGTGGCTGATACTGTCACGGCATTTCTAAGTTATATTGTGAACCCAGGAGTGACAAGTGAGTTCATTATGATATAATGACAGCTTTCTGTCACAGTATAACAAAGGTACCTTAGAACTGGAGAACCAGGACCTCCAAGGAGGGTGCTCACAAATGTCCACATTCAGGATATTTTTTTATCTGTGAACATATACGATACAATTTTTAAAAAAAATTCCCCAAAGCTGTGAAAATTGCAAATGCATCACTAGACCCGTAGGTTTTTTTTTAAATTTGTTTTACTCCAAAATAGCTCAACTTGGTTATTTCATGTGTACCCTTATTTACATTTTTCTAACATATCTTATTATTTAATATTTTCTTAACTAAAAAATGAAAGTGAAACTACTGTGGAATAAATGAAATACTTTCGCTTTTAGATACTTTACTGGCTGACACTGTGTTTTTACGATATGACTGCACCTTGATTTATTTTAATTTTTTAGATAAAAAAGCATGCAAATTCTGTTCCTGTGTTCTTTGATTAGTGAAAATGAAAGTGACAACATGCAGATGTGTGATTTTAACTCAAGTACTGTCCTGAGACTTTTCAGTTGAGCAACAGACGAGACTAAATCAAGAGCTGTGAGTAATCTTTCAAATGTTGTTAACTTAATAATAAGCAAAGTATGTCATCTATAGCCTAAAATATGCTGAAACTGTGTTTTATTACAGAATATTCATTGCAAAACAAAGTACTGAGCACTGCTTTCCGATAAGTCAGAGGATGTCAATGTCTGCGGTTACACCTTGCTACAAGGAACAAAAAATATAAGGTAGAGAAGAGTCTGATAGTTACGAGCAAATTCTGTCTATCTTCAAGATGCTTGATTTGAAACTGTACAGCTAAAGGTATTTTTTTTTAAAACTAGAATACAAAAAAGGAAAAGGGAACTAAATTATTATAGAAATGGGAGATGATTATTTGTGTGTTACTGGAAATATATCAAGTGGTCAACCAGAACGTAGCCTTAACATCCTTCCATACTTAGAAAAAAACAATAGAGATATGTTGTTTAAATGAGTCACCAACAATTGACTAATGAGTTCTAAGTGTTCATTGATGGCATACTTATAGAAACCTATCCCCCCGTCCCCCCTTCCATGAAATTTGTGTGACTATAAAAGGGTTAAAGGCTGTTCTAGACTGTGGTTAATGAAAAGCCTCTGCAGTAAAGTTATAATGTTATAACTGATGGGGTGGGGTGGGGGGTTTGTATGTCAATGTTTAATGTAATTTTCTTTGAAATCTTACCAAATATATATTAAAAATAATAAATATTATTATTATTATTATTGCCATTTATATAGTGCCAACAGATTCCGTAGCGCTTTACAATATTATGAAAGGGGGATGTAACTATAAATAGGACAATTACAAGAAAACTTACAGGAACAATAGGCTGAAGAGGACCCTGCTCAAACAATCAAAAAATTGCAGTCTATATGAGGTGGGGTATAAGACACGTTAGGACAGGAAATATCAATCAAATAGGGTGGGAGTGAAGTAGAGCTGGAGGAGAGAGTATAGCACTGCCCTATAGGAGAGAGCAAGAGACAGGTATGTAAGGTAGAGGTTACTCTGGGAGGCCATAAGCTTTCCTAAAGAGATGGGTTTAGGGCACTTCCTTGTATGCAGTTCGAGTGTTTGGAGCATTCCCTTGTATGCAGTTCGGGTGTTTGGAGCATTCCCTTGTATGCAGTTCGGGTGTTTGGAGCATTCACTTATTGGCGGTTCGTGAGTTTGGTGTTCTGCAGTAGCAGTGCCTGCATCTCTGGAAAGGGGGCAGATCGCCTAAACGTTTTTTTTACCCCTTTTGTGCAAAACGGTCCATTACAATTGGTGGCAAGCAGCGGGATCGTTCCCACAGACTACAGGACAGCTACAGGCGACACCATTCCGTGGATTTGTACAATTTGAGGGCAACGCATGTCCCAGTACAGCGACCCTGACAGCACCGAGATGGAACCAGCAGTGGAGTATGATGAGGGTGCCCTGGATGACCGAGATGCGCTGCGCAAAGGCATCTGGTACCAGGCACTGGGTATTGTGGAGTACCAGCGGGGCGAGAGACTCCCCAAGGAAGACCAGCAACTGCAGAAGCGAGTAGCCCTGCGGATGCCCTTTCTGGGAGAGCAGCCCCTGGATGAATGGGTGAAGGAATTGGAGCACCGGGTATGGCAAGAGATTTGGCTGGAAGATGCCTACCAGGCGCTCTGGTGGTATGGGGCACAGTACCAGCCCTGGACAGCCGAGCATGACAAGCCAGAGGGAGAGGAGTTTGATGGTCCTGGCTTGTTATGGGAGTCTTTTGCAGAGCCTGAGTTTGGGAGCCCTACACAAGCCCGGTTCAGTGATCTCTTGGAGTGGAGGGAGAGCAGGTATGACTGGGACGACACTCACGAAATTGAGCAAGACCTGGTCCACCTAGTGACCCGAGAGATGGAGCTGGAGCAGGGCTACCAAGATCTGTTCCACTCTAGTGAGAAGGCTCAGCAGGGAAGCGGAGACCCAGATCCAGACCCATTCAGCTGGGAAGACATTATTGAGATTTACTGGGAAGAACCCCAGGTGGCGGGTGGAGATGGGACCGAGGTCTCTCCACCGATATTGCAGGGGATTGGGAGCCCGAGCTCCATTCCCCAGCCGGAGATATTGCAGGGAATTGGGAGCCTGAGCTCCATTCCCCAGTGGCAGGCTGAGTTACAGGGGACAGAGATAGTTGCTTCTGTCCCCTAGCAGCAGAGTGAATTGCAGGGAATTGGGAGCCCAAGCTCCATTCCCCAGTGGCAGGCTGAGTTACAGGGGGCACTAGTGGTCCTGTCCCCCAGCGGCAGTGTTCCTTGCAGGGAGAGGAGAGAAGCGTCCTCCCCTCCCCAGTGGCAGGGTGAGCTACAGGAATGCTGGGCAGTCGGCTCAGATCCCCAGCAGCAGTATCATGTTTTGGGAATTGTGAGCCCAGTCTCCATTCCCCAGCGGCAGTGTTATTTGTTGGGAATTGGGAGCCCAGTCTCCAGTCCCCAGCGGCAGAGTATCCAGCAGGGAATAGAGAGCCCAGTCTCCTTTCTCCAGCAGCAGGACTCTGTATTGGGAGGAGAGACAGTCGGTCTCCCTCCACAGAGGCTGGAAGTATGTATGGGAGAGGAACTTGCTACCCCATCTCCCCAGCGGCAGATTATCAATGTGCAGGGAATAGAGAGCCCAGTCTCCTTTCCCCAGCGGCAGAGTGTTCTATCGGGAGAGGAGCCTGTTACCCCCTCTCCCCAGCCACAGCTTAGTGTACAAGGGGGAGACTGTAAGCCCCACACCTGTGCAGATGGGACCGTGGTCTCTGCACTCCCAGCACAGGGGGTAGGGACGGTCGGTCCTGCCCCCCCACGACAGGGCTGTTTAGCCAAAGGGGAGACAGTCGGTCTCCAGCAGCAGAGCTGTGTAACCAAAGGGGAGACGGTCGGTCTCCAGCAGCAGAGCTGTGTAACCAAAGGGGAGACAGTCGGTCTCCAGCAGCAGGACTGTGTATCTAAAGGGGAGACAGTTGGTCTCCCCCTCCAACAACCAGGCTTCAACCAGGCTACCCTCCCAGTAGCGCTGGCAACAGGGCAGAGCGCCTCTGGTCTCTGCCCACGCAGCAACCCACCAAGTCAGCATACCCGTACCCAGCACAGCCGTGGTGAGGCACCTGGACATGGACAAGCTTCTCCTCTACCCAGGTGCAGTAACCATTTATTGTGCGTGGGCTGTGCTGTTGATTGTGTTTTGTGGGTGGGCTGCTGGACTAACAAGGGCAGGAGGTCAGATACCCTGTTAGTCTGTTTGGAAAAGGGGAGAGATGTGAAGAGACCAATCTCGCCACATTGCATTGGAGGAGCCTGGTTGCCCGACTGCTGCCTTTGGATTATGGACCGGCAGTTAAACGGTTAATGTTACTGTGCAGAAAGATTTATTCCTTCCTTTCTGCACAGCCGTTCGGTAGATTCTATCTACCGAACAAACAGACTTCTATCAGCCTCCCCAGAGCCATGGGAAGTCGGCCGGCGCCGTTAATTGGCCACCCAGAAGCTGGCGTGTGCCCTCCATTTACCTCCCTGAAGCCGCGGTTAACCACGGCTTAACGAACGTGTGCCGGCAATTGACCACCCAGTAGCTGCGGTTAACCACA